CTTTGTACTCTCGCCTCAAGCGCTCTATTTCTTCACCCTGCTTCTTGTTACAATCTTCAAAGAATTTCTTCCTTATGTCTCTATCTTCTTCGGTACTGAGCAGGGTCTTGGTAATCTCGTCCAGCTCACTTCTGGTCTTCTCCAGCTCGTCTATCGTTCCCTTAAGGTCTTGCCCGGTTTCGTTCGTCTGAACCTCCTCCTCTACTCTCGTCCTCTTAGTTGGCACAGCTGCTCTCATTTGTAAACTAGACGAGGTAGCCTCGCTGGTCATTTCCTGATGCATCCTCCTCAATCCAGGCCTAGGCTTGGTGGGCAAAGGCAACTCACCTGGTTGGTAGGTCCTCGAACTTCCCAATCCAGGCTCGTTCGCCAAGTCACTTCCTGAGAGAGCCCCGTTTCTCCACCTCCTTGCCCTCATGTTCGGGAGGTCGTCTAGTACTCCTCTTTCTCCGTAAGCTGCCATCAATAAGACTTCCGTGGGGCGGTCCCCACGGTTATCATGCCCCAAGATGTTTAGTAAGGCGGCCAGTAACATGACTACCTCTGGGTCCTCCATAGCCAAGTCCCGATCCATCAGCCGACGATAGATCGCATCCATCATCGGTCCTACGTACGCCTCTGCCAGGTCCATGTACTCTTTCAAATCAAAGTTGTCCATGTTCTTTCGGATTCGATTCTATTATCCTTTGATGAATTGAAATCAAGTGAATGATTAAATGATCAATCAGGATCTAGAAAAGAGGTCGCGAATATCACATTTGTCAACTTTACACTAATTTTTTATTAAAATTTATTTAAAAGAGTCAGATAAAAAAATTTTGATCCTAAAATTTATTAAAATCAGTCCGTTTCTAAATTTTTGGAAATTGACCTATGAATGGACAGTCCAAGTTCGGATCTATTCCTAAGATCACCATTCGGTTATTCATTGTCACTAATTCCTTCTTACCCAGGGTCTTTATAACATAACACATAACATAACATAACACACATATCACACACGACGCCTTCCTGCATGCAACCTAAACTCAGCCTATACTTAAACTTATTTTTTATGTAAGTATTCTTGTATATTAGTATCAGAGGAGACTACGTGTATCAGTGCATACAGTTCCCGTGGATGCAGTCGTCCTCTGTTCGGGTCGTACACCAGAAGCAAGAGCTCCTTCACTTCCCTTTCCACAAGGAAGTCTCTCAATCTCGTCAAGGACAAGACTAGGTTTTTCGGGTCCACGTGCCGCCTCTCCGTCGCCCTCATCACCAAGAAGCACAAGCTTTTTCCCGGTATTTGTGACGCCGCCGGAGGCAAAGCTGTTACGCCTCCTATTCCTGGCCTCTGCTTCCAAAGGAATTCTATGTTTTTATATTCTCTCTTAAAATCCGCTGCTAACGCTGTCTTAAAACTCATGTCTGCTGTGATCGCTATCGCACATGTTCTATTCGTGAGTATAAAATCGCTATCTGTCAAAATTATGCCACTTGAGTATTCATTTGGTAATTTAAAATTTGACTCAACTACCCTCACTATGTTCGGTTTCTTAGGGTCCTCGTCTGTTTCTGCTTCTAGATCACCTGTCTCTCTTGCTATTCTTAATTTTTTTATTAACAAATTTTCAGTGTGGATAAGTCATACCGGATATCAAATCGAGGTGGGAAGCCGGAATAAGTAATCGTCCTTCCTGGGCAGCACAGGAAGGATCACATATTTCGGTTTTTACGTATTTCATGCTTCCACGATCTACATCTTGAATCGTGACACTGGTCTCCTTTGGGTCCGACGTCATTTCGTTCAGCCATTCCCAGACACGCAGATTCGTCAAGTCTTGTTCATGAGATTGCTGTTGCTCGTCGTCGAATTCTACCTCGGGCTTCGACGGGTCATCGACCCACTCCTCGTCATGATCATCGACTATGTCAATGTCCTGTGACACAGTTATTTTCTCTAGACCCACTACTTCTTCCACTGTCTTCTTTAAATCTATCCTGTCCACTACGAAGTCGTCTCCGTAAGAATTATATTTCTTCGTGAGTCTTGTCCTGTCACTCTGTCGAGTCTGTATCGTAAATGGAAGATCCGGCTCCGAGTTCTTGGGGACCTCCATCTGTTCAGGGTCTTGCCAGTCGTCCTCTGCGTAGGGTAAGGTTTCTTCATCTGCTTCGATCACCTCGCTGAGATCCAGGTCAAGTTATGGACTTGTCCCTTCCTCTATGACCTCATTTCCATCGTTCTTTTCCCTGGTGCCCTTCTCGTTGACCTCACAAATAGGGTCCATCATCAGATAATTCCCCTCTTCCATTTCCGCAGGTATACACCAGTCCTCTGTCGATAGATTGCGTGGCTTAATATTCTCGTAGTGAGCGGCTCGGCTTGTACTCAGTCTGAAAAAGCGTCCCTCCTGATGCACTTCCGTAATCATGAAGGCTCCCTCACTTTTTCAGGAGCTTTTTTGTTCCTTTTGGTGGTATAACGTTCTGAAATACCCATACGTAGTCTCCTACCGCGTAAGTTTTTGCACCAGCTGCTTTTTTATCGAATTTTTTCCTCTGCCTTGTTCCGTCTACACAATTCGTTTAGTTCTTGCTTGTTGACGTCTAATCACATCCCTTACGTAGACTTGTGGTGATGTTTTCCTCCCCTCATACTCTGGGTAAAAGAAAGTCAAGGGCAGATACTTCTCGTGTCCGGTCAACATCATGTGTGGACTAACTCCAGTGGTGGAGTGTTGCGTGCTGTTGTAGGCTCCCATCACCTGTGGAAGATATCTGTCCCAATCGGTCATGTACCTGGAACAATATACTTCAGCATCGACACTAACGTTCGATTTTGCCTTTCCACTAAGCCATTCGTCTGGTGATGTTATGTCGTGGAGTGAGCTTGGGCCACCTTTGAACGTCTCATGAGCTCTTTCGTAAGTTCTCCCACGAAAGCCGTTCCGTTGTCCGATTGAAACGTCATCGGACAACCATGTCTGGCTCTCCACGTATTGATCAGGTGATCGCACGTCTCTTCTGCTGAGGCAGTTATGCAGTGCACGGCCTCTGCATACTTCGTGAAGTGATCTATAATGACCAAGACTTGATTGTAACCACTGTCTGTCATGCATATCTTTTGATTATCGATCTGCACCACTTCGTTAAATTTAGATGACTCGATCGACTGCAAGGAAAATTGCAACTTCCTTGGATCCTTGACCTGTTGGCATGACAGACATGCTGTTACCCACTTCTCGCATGCCTTTTTCATTCCACGCCACTCAAAGCGTTTCAAAATCCTCTGGTATACATTATCGATTCCCTGATGGCCCATCTGATCATGTGACCTGAATAAAAGTTCTGTCTGATAGAGGTGCGGCAACACTATCGCATGATATTTGTACAGGACTTTGTCCTCTTCTCTTCTCTTGCAAGCCACAATTTTGTCCTTGTTCAGATATAACCTTCCCTCTTTCTGCATAAAGTAATGTCTCAGAATGCGGTAACTATCTTCCTCCAGATCACCTTTGTCCGGAACTCCATTTTCGATCCACCTTTTCAGGTTGCTCGTCATGCGGTCATTTCTCTGTGCTCTTAGTAGGTCCGAGAGTCTCTATCTTGCCTTCAAGTACGTCTTCATGGCCCTCATCTGACTATTCTTTTCTTCTAGTTGATGCGTGTCATCTTCCATCTTAACGCACCAAATTTTCGCCAATGGTTGTGTTTCTTGTTCGAACGGTTGAAGATCAGTCCTGACTACCTATTTTTGCGGCAACAAACTTATCGAACGTTTCGATACTGCTATTGTTTCCAGATCATCTGCTGTGTTGTCAAAGACTCTCTCACCTTGGATGAGGTAGCGATCACTGTCAGGGTCTTGATATACCTCCCTAGCCAGATTCCTTGCTCGAGTTTCCACCAACAGTGTGTGGATCGCTAGCTCTGACAAGTCTGATCCTGAGCTCGAGTTCCTGTCTGAATAGGTGTCGATTCCTGAACTCCGGGAGTTGTCATCCATTGAAAAAATTGCGATAGAGCACGTTCCCTCCTCCGGATCAGTTCTGTGCGTTCTTCTCATCCATCTGAATTCCGCGGCCAAAATTTTATTCTCCAGGTCCTGTTTCTCATCAGGAAATATTCATCTACATCAGACTCCCCGGACAAACTTTCTTATCCCGGGTGTTGATCCTCAACTCGCCTGCTCTTCTCACTGTTACTTTTCCCGGACGAATTTTCTTGGCCTGGGTTCTGTTCAACCTTCTCAGTTTCCTTAATCTGGTCTTCAAAGGTAGAGGTTTTCTTTTGCGTATCGTATCCCAGCTCTTTCCGTTTGCGTGATGCCCTGGCTGCTGCCCACTCGGGATCATCTCTGGTCACTTCTCTCTCCAACAATCCACCCAGCATCCGCATCACTTGCGGTGTGACCTGCACTGTTTTATCCAATAATGAGAGGCTGTTAATGTTCATGCGAGAGAGTTCCTGCTGGACCAGGTTCGAGCGCAGCAACAGATCCAAGGGCACCGGGTCCTTCTTGAATAGATTCTTTATCTCAACTGCTTTATCTACAGGTAACTCAGAATGTCCTGGGATTGGATGTCCAGACTTATCCAACCATCTCGTCAAGGAAAGCGCTTCGTAAGTCTCTTTGTTCAGGAACGAGAATCCCTCCTTTATTTCTGCCTGATTGGCTTGCTTCTGTTCCAATCTTTCATAGAACTCAGTTTTCTTGCTGAGGCTATCAGCATACTGGTGTTTATCACGCATCCTGTGTTCGACTATCATGTGGTAGCCATCTGATCTCACTATCCATCTACCAATATAACTCTGATCCATCGAGCATGTCTTCAACCAGGATAACGCTCTGCTGTCCACGCGTAACTTAAAGGGAGCCCTCCCCAAGTATGCGCGGTACTTTTCCACGAATGTGACTACTGCAAACATTTCTGCTTTCGGTGCACCATCTTTCATCTCAGTTTCATTAGCACCTTACTGCCATATGCAATGGGACGGAGAACTGTTCTTCCATTTCATTCCTGCTCCGGATGCAGTATTCCTGAGATGGTTACTACTGATGCGTCTGTGTCAAGAACATAGATGACCTTTTCTGTAGGCATGCCTAGCACTGGCGCCTCGCACAGTTCCCGCTTTATGTTCTCGAAGGCAGTTTGTGCTTCCTCGTTCCATTCGAACTTCTTTCCTGTGTTGCGCATCAGCTTCTGCATTGGATACACCTTGTCTGCATATCCCTTTATGAACTCACGGTAATAATTGGCGAATCCTGGGAAGCTCATGAGTTGTGTGTCCGTCCTTGGAGCCTTCCTTATCAACACAGCCTCTACTGCTTCCGGGTCCGGCCTCACGCCATGCCTATCCACCATTCTTCCTAAATACTTTATTAAATCTCTGAGTATCTCACATTTCGATGGTTTACATTTCAAGCCTGCTCTTTTCATGCAGCCAAAGACACCTTCTCTAGCCGATCAATGTGGTCTTCCAGGGTGGGTGTTGCTATGACCACGTCATCCACATAACACATCACCAGGTTCCTGTACTTCTTCGTCACTCTGGTCAAAGCCTGAGATATCAGTCTTTGAAAAGTGGCCGTCGCGTTGCCGAAGGGCATCCTCTTCCACCGGTACAATTCCAATTCACATGCGAATCCGGTCTTCTCTCTGTCCTTCTTCCGCAGAGGGACCTGCCAGAAGGCAGAATCCAAGTCCAGTCTGGTGAAGAACTTGGCATCACCAAGTTTAGAGAGGTTTTCGTCTACCCGCAGTATCGGGTACGCGTCTTTTATTGTCACCGCGTTCAGGTAACGAAAGTCGCAACAGAACCTAAGCTGCCCCCTTCTTTTTTGCCATTAATACCCCGCAAGCCCACGGTGATTTCGAGTGTTCTATCATGTCATATTCGAGCAACATTTCTATCTCCGCTCGGCACGCTTCCGATTTATGTGGTGTCATTCGTCTTGCACCTTCCCTATGGGGAACGGCGCCTTCCTCTAATTCGATTTCGTGTTCGACGAAGTTGCAACAACCGATATCCACCTTATGTTGTGAAAATACATCCGCGTTCCGATTTAAAACCGCCCGCAATGATTCAAAATTTCCCTTGCCTATTTTCCCTTTTAAGTGTTCTATTTCTGGCAAAACCGGCTTGTCAGATTCTAGTTCATATAACGAGGGGCGTTCCGGAAAACTCGAGCAGCTCGACAAGCCGTCGTTCATTTCGGATTTCATTGAATTCAGTTTATGAATAGATTTAAATTCATTAATGTTTTAAAAAAATATATCTTTATTGGCATGATAAGGGCAGTCTTTCACACTATATCTCATCAAATTTTGTGTCTCGTCATAGTCGGTCCTCATTGGAAAAGCGTAACTAAGTTTCTTTCCACACTGGATTGAAACAGTGGTGTCCAGTGTGTTCAATAACACACTGACACACAGTCCGTTTCGAGTTACCGAGAAGCTCCGGCCTAAAATCACTGAACTTTGACTATTTGGAATCGGTACCAAACAAACCTGTTTACTGTCACTTAACGAATTTAAATTTCTCATTCTAAAAATTGCTAACACAGCTTCTCCCGGCTGTAGTTTTACCTTTCTATCTAAAAATATGGGTACCTTGTTTTCATCTGTTAGCATTCTATTAATTGGTTTCTTAACATATTCCGGTCCGGTTTTCTAATCCTTATTAGACCGTTCAAGTCAATCATCACGTCGAAATTCTTGACAAAATCACTGCCCAAGATGAACTGATCGGAGTCGTCCAAATTCTGTACCACCAGGAAGCTCATCCAAAGATCCCGTCCTCCCATGTGGAGGAACGTTATTGGTGTCCTTCCGGCTTTGTAAATAGCTCCTCGATTGGCTGCCGCTAGTCGGAGATTTGTCGGACTTAGGTCTTCCCTCGTGAAGCCCATTCTTTCCCAAGTTTTTATCGGCATCACGCTCACTACCGCTGCTGTGTCCAGGAGCCCTGTGACTCTGATTTTCTTTCCATTGGTGTCGAGCAGATGTTCAGTCACATCTGCTTCGTATCCAAAATGAACCGCATCTTGCTCCATCATGGCGTCATGACCTATCATACGGACTTTAAGTTCTTCTTCACCCAAATAGATTTGCCCTATTTGGTCACTGTCTGTCGTCACGTAGGTCCTAGTGTAGATACTGATCCCGTCCACGTTCAGCATCACTTGATCTTGTCCTTATACTTCCAGGTAGCGCCCGTGAAGTTTCTTTATTCGAGGGCCACCCATTGGTAGTAGCGCTCGCACAGCTCTTGACTCAGTGTGTGGCTCCACCTGTCTCAGATAATCTGCATATGTATCCAAATGCATTAAAGTGAATTCCGATATTTCAATCAGATTTCTGATTACCTGGTGTCCCAGTACCGAGATTGTCGATTGTACTTTACTTCCCTGCGGCACCATACCAAACTTCTGCCCGGAGATCACTTTAATTTCATGCTCAAACTACTTGGTGCTTTTGTCTCCTCGACTTCTGATGCCTCGAAGGCGTTCAGCCTTTCCTGAATTTTTTCGTTTTCTAATTCGAGCTTCACCTTTTTGTTTGATCTCCTTTGTTACATATTCCTGCTGGACTCTGTTTAGAGCATCCCTCGCGGCTGCCTTATAGTCGATCTTGAAGTCATCCACTGCAGTCGCCGATTCCGGTTAATATTTCTCTTCCGTTACCGCCTGCATCTTCTTCGTTGCCAGCACTTGCGGTTTTTCTTTTCTGCGTGCCTCCGCCTCACTCAACAAGCGAGCCTTGCTGGCTTTCACACCCGATAAAGCTTCCTCATGCCTTGGGTGCTTGATGTCTGCTACAGCATCCCAGAATTGTGAACAAGTTACAAAAGAAACACCTTGGGCCGAATTTCGCAATTACTCCTCTCATGAAATCTTCATGATCGGTCTGACGCATCTTCATCCTCGAGACTGAAGTGTATTGCTTTCATGTCCTGTTTGTAAGTTGGGCATGCTGGCACATAATGGTCCCTCGAACTGCAATTTGCATAAGAGCGTATCTTGTCCATATCGTCCCTTGGTTTGTACCAGTTATTTCCTTGGTTTCCTGGTCCATTTTTAAAATTGCCATAATTGTTTTTGTAATATCCCGATCTCGATGGAGGCTTCAGCAAAAGATATTCTTTTGACTTGAGTGTCAACTCCTCTGGTGTTGGTGCATTGGTTGAGAGTGGTGTGTAATGTGTCGCCAACATTGTTCGAAGCTCATCATTCTTCACACCATCGATGAATTTCGAGGCTACTGCCAGGTTCATCCTTCTGTTCGACTCATCTGGTTAGCTACGCCTTCTCAGCATCTCTAAATTGTCTAGAAACTTGTCTGTTATCTCATCTTTGCGTTGCCTTTGTTTCTCGAAGCGCATCATTGCTTGGTGTCCAAAACGACTTAACAAGATTTCAAAGATTTTCTCAGCAGTGTCACGCTGGTATTGTCTTTAGGCCTACACACAGTTTAGGATGTCCCTTCCAAGTTCCTGGTAAGCGCACTGCATTCTTGTCTTTCTGACAAATCCTCTTCTTCAAAATTCAGTTTCATTACCTCTATCCAGGTATCAATACAACCATCAGATTCGTCTTTATAGCATCTTGGTTTCTTAAAAACTATTCTGGACTTTTCACTACGTGCATTGGTTCTAGATAACCTCGTAAGAAATGTTTCCAAAGACTTGTTTAGAGGTTCAAAGGCTGTGGCCATTAATGTAGCGTCTCTTGAATGCCCCGCCTGAGTATCATTGCCCCCTGACAAGGGCTCTGCATTTTTTTTCCTGCCTTGGTCACTGGGATTGTTTCTTCCTTGACTCGCATGACTCTTGTTCCTGGAATCGCATCTCCCAGTCGCATGTGCATCTTGCGTCGGTCGTTCGTTTGATGTCTGTCTGTTGCTACTTGAACTTCCTCTGATGTCTGGGCCCCTGTTCTATTATCCCGTATGGCATAGCCCGATGAACTGCCCCTTCCTCTACTGGATCCATATGTCCTTCTCTTGTTCTGCTGCTCATTGAAGTTCACCCTCGGCTCCCTATTAGGTTCTCCTGAGTTCGATTCCCCATTTTTTGATCCACTCCTGCTGCCTAGTAGCTCATCCAACCTATACATGATAGCCTGAGTTCGCCTCTCCATCATCGCATCTGTCCTAGTGTCAAGAGTCCCAAGAGTCTGCTCTTGTTGAATCCTCAACTTCTCCATGTCGTCTCTCAATCTTAACTCTCTTTGGTCAGCCTCCCTAGTCAACCGCGACACGTTCTTCGCTAGGTGTTCATCCGTTCTCTCCTTCAAGCGTTTTTCGCTTCTGCTAGCTTCTTGTCTGTTGCGGTTGATCTCTTTCCGCAGACTTTCTCTCTAGTGGACTGCCCATTCCAGTTCACTCATTCTTATGGAAATCTGTTCATTCTGTTCTCCTATACTGCCCACTATGTTGGTCAAGGCTTCTTCAATTGATGCTCCGTTTTCCACTAATGGCGTCACAAGTGGCGGTGTCACCCTGTCGATTTCAGTTAGCTTGTTGCTGGTCGATATTCGGGCTTTGATTCTCTGCCTCGATGTCTTTTCACTATCCACCTCTGGATCCGCCGGTGCGTTGCTTAGCCCTGTTCCTACTCTCCCCAGTTTGCATTTCCGAGTTCGTCATATTCACAAAGTCTCCAGACTGGCCTGATCCCTTTTTTTGGTCTTCCTTATTGTCCCCACCACACCAAATTGGTCCATGGTACCAGTCTCTCTTTCGGTGTATGCGTCATTCTCCTGATTCGAGCTATTGAGGCTGACTTGAGATCCAAAGTCATCTTGCGCGTCATTGTCCTCTTCTTCTTCCTGGGCTTCTGCTTCATCGCCTGTACTCGTTCCCATAGTAAATGGAAAGAAGTTTCCTAAAGTGTTCTTCACTCTTTCTGAAAACGACGAGGACGTTGCCGCTTTTTCCGTCACGCCAACCATCATGGTGTTGTCTGTGGGTGATCTCGTAGTCGCCAAGTTTTCGGTAGAGATAACGGACAGTTCAGATATCTCTTCTCGGTCCAGGGTCCCGGTGGAAGTGGCAAAGTCTTGGCCTTGTTCTACCGGAGTAGATTCACTCGTCAATCTTCTGTTTCCGCTCCCTTCCGGTCCATGTCCCTCCTGAGTATCATCCATGGCAGGGTCCGAATGCGCCTCTACCTCCAACCTTGCCTTTTGTCCTTCACAGGACTTTTGACTCCTGGTTTCAACCATAATGCCTGAAGTTCTCTTCGCATTGTCGGTCCGGGATTGTGTGATCTTTTGCACAAAAGGGTCGTTCGTTGCTTCTCTCTGTTTTCCTGGTATGAACTTCCTGGAGCTATCGCCTAGCTTAGGTATCCTTGACTTGTC